TGAAGGTGCGTCGCTCCCGAGTGGTCTCGGCGAAGCAAGTACAAGTCCTCCTCGGGCACATGGCCTCCACGGTGATGGTGACACCGTTAGCAAGGCTCCGCTTCCGTCCCCTCCAGAGGTGGTTCTTGGACCACTTCAACCCCATGCGGGACAGTGCCGCAAAGCGTCTGCTGGTACCGAGGTCGGTAAAGGACTCACTGGCCTGGTGGACGAGACGCGAACATGTCTGCAAGGGCATTCCCTTTCATCCAGAACCCCCGACCGTCACGATCACGACGGACGCCTCGATGTTCGCATGGGGATGCCATACAGGAGACCTCTCAGTTCACGATCTCTGGTCTCCACAAGAAAGACAATGCCACATAAATTACTTGGAGCTGCTGGCAATATTCAAGGCCCTGAGAGCATTTGCCCTCCTGGTTACCGGGAAGTCCGTCCAGATTCTCACGGACAACACGGTGGCAATGTTCTACGTGAACAAGCAGGGCGGAACGGGCTCGAGGAAACTCCTCACGCTATCAACGGAACTTTGGGATTGGTGTGTAGCCAGGTCGGTGTCGATAACAGCATTGCACCTCCCGGGCGAGATCAACACCGAGGCCGACGCACTCAGCAGAACCAGGGCAACATCTCACGAGTGGAGGTTGAACCCCGATGTGCTGGCAAAGATCTTCGAGGAATGGGGCCTTCCAGTCGCAGATCTCTTCGCGTCGCCGCAAAACGCTCAGCTCCCTCAGTTCGGTGCTCGACTTGCTCCGAACACGGTACCGGGGTGTCTCGGAGACGCGTTCCTGCTAGACTGGTCGAGGCACCTGCTCTACCTCTTCCCGCCGTTCCCGCTCATCCCGAGGGTGATCGAGCGGATCCAGTCAGCGCAAACAGACTGCATCTTGGTAGCGCCGGAATGGCCACGACAACCGTGGTTCCCCTTCCTACTCCAGCTGTCCGAGGGACGGATGAAACGCCTTCCACTTCGACAGGACCTGCTCTCTCGAGAGGACGGTCAGCTTCTCCACCCCGACCTCGCTTCTCTGCATCTTTCGGCGTGGAGGATCCGATGTTGAGATCCCTGTGCCCAGGAGTTCTCCCGATCTTGGAGGCAGCGCACAAGCCGGCTACCAAGAAGTGCTACTCAGCTTGCCTTAACCGCTTTCAGGCCTTCCTCTCCGAGAAGGGCCTGGACGATCATCGACCGTCGATACCGGCGATCCTTTCCTTCTTGCTGCACCTTACGGAGCGAGGATTGTCGCTGTCTTCGCTCAAGTCGCACTTGGCCGCCATATCGTGGCAGCTTCAACGAACTGGGGAAGCTTCCCTGTTCAGGGACAGCTCTGTGAAGTCTTTCCTGAGAGGTTTCAACAACTTGCATCCCCCGGTTCGGTCTCCGACTCCGGGGTGGGACCTCGACCTCGTGCTGGCTAGGCTCGCGCAACCGCCTTTCGAGCCTTTGGTTTCAATTGACCTTCGGCTGTTGTCATGGAAGGTGGCCTTCCTGGTTGCCATCACCTCAGCCCGTCGGCCGTCGGAGCTGGCGGCATTGCGGGTGGACGAACCCTATTTTGTTGTCCACGGGGACAGAGCAGTTCTCCGCACAGATGTGACATTTCTCCCTAAGGTCGTGTCCCCTTTCCATGTCAATGAGGACATTGTTCTTCCCTCCTGTGTCAATCCCCCTCGACCCCGAGGGAAAAGAGACTTCATATGCTCGATGTGCGGAGAGCATTGCTGTGTTATAGGGACAGGACTGCCCAATCTCGACGGTCGCAGAGACTTTTTGTTGCATATGCCCCTGATAAGGTGGGCCTGCCGATCACGGCGCAACGTTTGTCGCACTGGATCACCTCGACCATCGAGCTCTGCTATCAACTGGCTCGGCAACAACCACCCTCGGTCGTCCGGGCTCGGTCGACCAGGGCTATGGCGGCTTCGACAGCCTTCCTTAAGGGAATTCCCCTGGACGCTATTTGCAAAGCGGCCATTTGGAAAAATCCCCAGACATTCGTGTCACATTATAGGTTGAATACCAGGTTTACACCTGACATGGCCTTTGGGAGGGCAGTTCTGGCCTCATGCCCGCCTTAAAGGTTTTTGACTGGGTGCGTTGTCGGTACCGAGTGTTCCTTCGATACCGTGTGTTACTGTGAATGTTATTTGCCATGTTTAATACTTGAATTTCTCGTTGCTGGGAATAAAGTTGCACCTTTACACTTGATGCCTTACTGCCTGAGGCACAGGCAGCCATTGCACTATGGCCTAATGGGCTCATCACGGGTATTCTGTGTCATTATCGATGGCTTTGCCTTGCTAATGTGTTGTACTCTTGTTAGCAACTGTTTTTATATTGCTGCCTAATGTGCCCTCATTATAATGAGTGTTTTCAACAATCACTATGTGGTTTATTTCAAGGGTCATAAGTTTACTCAATTGTTGGTCACCCTTGTGTGGCCGGGAGGATCACGTACTCCCATAAGTTTACGCAATGTGCCCTTCTTTGTAAGTGTTTGCAACCTCTTGTTATGCACTATGCCCTTCTTCGGAAGTGATTACAATCTCTTGTTGATGACTGTTTTTGCACTTAATAAAATTGTTTGGCCCTTGATTTCAATGGTCGGTTTGCTTACTTCCCGCCTCCGGGACCTGAGCTTGCTAGTCTCCACAAGTGTGCATTCGCAGAGACCACGAAGAAAAATGGTAGGTTACATACCTGTGACCATCTTTCTTCGAGTGGTGCTCTGCGAATTCACACTAACCCGCCCGGCCTCCCCTCTAAGCAAACCTCCAATTTCTCGCTACCGTGGCGGCGTAGGAATTGGAGCGGCGCGCGCGGGGCGCCCTTTTATCCCCTGCCGGGGCTGGGCGGGGTTACCGCCAAAACTTCAAAAGTTTTAAAATGTAGAAGTTTCCGTTGGAGCCCGCGCAGGCGCAGTCTCTCCACAAGTGTGAATTCGCAGAGCACCACTCGAAGAAAGATGGTCACAGGTATGTAACCTACCAATATGTATACAGATTTCTGAAAGTAACTATACTGTCCCTGCACGTAAATGTACAGATCATAACTACCTGCAGGAGTCCCTGTAACTGTATATATCTTTCAGGAACTTGAGTTTTCAACAAGATTAGAACTTGACCTTTGGAACACTGTATACTTAGGATTTCCCATCTTACTCATTTGACTACTTTCTTTGCCTATTTTAGGAATTTGAAGTGGATAGAAGCTGTTCCACATAGGATATGGTAAAAGAAAAAGTCTTCAGTCAGAGGATATGTATTTTGGAAATGAATACTTGTATCTTTTGTGGATTGCCAAAACACACACTAATGTTAATGGCTTCACTCCAGAATCCAATTACTTCTTGTGCTTCCTACTCACATATTCATACATCCTCACCTTCCAGAATTTTACATATAGATCTTTATCAGATTCAGAATTTTCCATTTTTCATGATTTTACAATAAGATCAAACCTTTTACATTAATGTAGGTTTTCTCATCCCTTAGGACTTAAAGGCATTTTTATAAAATCAAGTACACACAAAAATTATTTTACTCACTCATTAAGAACTATCATGCCACAATAATATGCACACTTAGAAAATCAGGTAGAAGATAAAATTGATGATTTCATAATTAGCCTGTATACATTTCCAGGATTTTATTACGGATTAATTCATTACGGGGTCTAATACTAGCCATATGTGCATATTCTACTGTAAAATCCATACCTTTATTTTCTCTTCTACTGTCTGCTCATACACCAGTAAAATAAGTAAAATATAGATTTTTTTTCAGTTTTGTGTGTTGTGACAACTATGTCACAGTTCTCTACTCTAGCACAATATGAGGATATGTGAAATGACAGTGTTAGCCCCTTTCCTTACTACATATATAATTCAGCAAGCATTATTCAGATGAGTAATTGCAAGGAGAACAGGGAGGCTGCTCCTCCTATCCCGCCTAGCAATTCACACTTTAGAAGGGGAAACATCTATTCAAAGGAATCCATTCTATGCAACCCATGTATGTGCAAACAAGGTTCTCAGTTGGAGTTAGAGGCATCTATGCTGATACAACCAATGTCTGCTTATTCATCTCAATGTGAAAAGGCCAGGCACAGGAGGAGGTGAAAATGAGATTAAAGTGTGTCCCCTATTTAGCATGGAAGTCAAACATACTGCTGGTGGTAGGAGGTCTATGCTTGGATTTCATCTGCCTGCTGCATTTCCATACTGGGTAGAGAGAGAGAGAAAGAGCGAGAGCTTTTCTGTCTACTCCACAAAGAAACAATGCATGCTGCCTGGCCTGGGACACAGCAATCTTTCTGGCTTCCTTTGGCAGTTTTCTTAGGTGATAGCATAAAGTGTCTGGGCAGGCATGTAGCTGGGGGGGGGGGGGGCTTGGGGGGTTTCAGCCCCCTCCGAAATTCTCATGGTGGTCTGCGAAAAGGCCTTACTTGTACATTATTTAAACTGTTATGTTTATTCATATCATGATCTGATCACCATGCTCAATATATCTCATATGCATGGGGGTATTGGGGTAACGATACAAAAGGTTTGCTAGGGTAGACCCTCTTTCACTCAGACTCAGCCCCCCCCCCAAACAAACTCAGCCCCCCCCCCCCCAAAAAAAACACCCCCCCCCCCCCCCCCCCCCGGCTACGAGCCTGTGTCTAGGTGAAAAAGTTATCTTCCTGGCCATTGCTATGAAACTTGCTATGGGACAGATCAGAGCTGCCAATGCTCCAGTAATACCAACTTCAGATAGTTGCATTCTGAACAGAAGTTGCCTAAGGCAGCCCTATCTACAATGCATGACAGCAGATAATAAAAGTGTTAATGAAAATGTTAAGAACTGAAGTCATTTGTTTAAATAACTGTTTCCTATTCTATTGTTGCTGCTCTGAATAATTGCAACTTCAAAATGTATCATAAAATTGCACTCTATTCAACAGTTCGCCCTCCCTCCAAATATTAAAAGGGCCTTATATCCATGTGACTTACTTGGTGTTACTTCTGGATTTCCTTTCAGATTCATCATTTTTGGTATGGAAGGCCCATATACGTCTGCATCAAGTAACCCAACTGTTTTTGTCTATGGAAAGAAAGCACAAATCATAACATTATTCTTCAAATATACATGTGTGCACAAACTTACTGATATTGAAAATAGACTTGTTTAAAAAAACAGATAAAATAATAGTAACTAAAGTCTTAGTTGTAGCTATGACTAGTTATTAATATGGAACATTAAGTCTAGGAAGAACTACACTAAGCTGTCTAATTACATGAACTTGCAGTGCCCACTAAATGCTAATTAGGGCATCCTTATTTAATATTTATTTATTTATTTACTATATTTATATACCGCTTTCCTCACCCCTGGGGGATTCAAAGCAGTTTCCAACATACACATGTCAAAATTCAATGCTAAACATACATGTGAAAAACCAAAGAAAAATCAAACAATAACATATAACTATGAATTAAAACTATTAAAACCATATTAAACCAGGACACATAGGCAGAATCATTATCCAAAGCCATTCCAATTGTCAATTGCACATATTTCCTATTCATTTCTTACACTGCTCACTAACCAAAGGCTTGGTCCCACAGCCATGTCTTTGCTTTCTTTCTGAAAGCCAAGAGGGAGGGCGCTAAGCTAATTTCACTGGGGAAAGAGTTCCAAAACTGGTGGGCCACCACTGAGAAGGCCCAGTCTCTCGTCCCACCAACCGCATCTGCGAAGGAGGTGGGACTGAGAGCAGGGCTTCCCCAGAAGATATTAATCTCCTAGATGGTTCATAGAAGGAGATGCGTTCGGAGAGGTAAACTGGGCTGGAACCCCACAATTCTGCACATGGCAGAAACCAGGTTTTAAGTGGATTTTTTCTCTAGTGTGATGAATCTACAATGTCCATTGCAACACTAAATGAAAATTTGCTAGTGTCCTAGTTTCCACAAACCTCACAACCTCTGAGGATGCTTGCCACAGATGCAGGTGAAACGTCAGGAGAGAATTCTGCTAGAACATGGCCATACAGCCCGAAAAACCTACCATAACCCCAAATATGCATAAATAATACCTGGAAGTGAGATGTCATGTTTGATGTGCTATCAATGCAAAACTGTAGCCTGTTCAGAAGGGATAGATGAAAAAAATGCCTCCTATCCTTCTGCAGTTGCCCACCTCTGCCATAGTATACTAATGATACATTTGCTGTCAATAGAGATACTCAAGGGTTTCATTTAGTATGCTTTCTGAAGCATGCTGATCTGATTGCATTTCTTTGAATTATGGTATTTAGTTCTTGACCTAAATAAATAAGTACCAAAATATGCATAAAGTGAGTATTTCAGAACAAAGTCATTTAGAAATGCATACTTTGAGGGAAAATACATTCAAAAATATTTTAACATATCAAAGTGGGAAATGCAACTTTCAAAAATATCGAGCTGACTGGAAAAGTGACCAAAAAACAGGCATATATATCCCTTATTTCTTATTGTGGCATATGCTTTTACAGACAAACATCCAGGCTAGAAATCAGGGAAACGTGGTTGGCAGGAAGCTCTTATAACCTTTTTGGATCCTGAATAATTTTTTTCAGTTAAATACCGCCCCCGCCCCCTCTAGCAGCCAAAACACACATCATGGCCAAGAATGGCATTCTAAGGTCTGTTTCAGCTCCCAATCCACAAACAGAAAAACAAACAAAAACTCTGATCTAAAAATGATCTAAAATAACTTCTGATTATTTTGAATGTTGCTGGGAATGACGTTGCAGCTTATCATGGTTCAAACAACACCAGTGTTGGTCCACTAACCCTTTGGCACTAGTGTTCACACCTAGACTATGTTAATTTAAAAGCCACAATGAAACTAAAACTGTTATGCATGGATGTGGATAAGTGTGGATGCCTTCAAGTCACCTGTTAACTCCAAGTAATTTGTAGCACTTTCCTGGGCAAGGAATACTATGAGATGGTTTTGCAAATTCCTTCCTCTAAAATATGACCTACAGTACCTGATATTTATTAGGAATTTCCTATTCAAGTACTAACTAGGATCAATCCTGCTTAGCTTCCAAGAGCTGACAAAGATAGTGCCATTAGGGTATTCAAGCCCTTATACATAAATGCATACTCACATGCTGCACAAAAAGAGATAGAGCTTGAAAAGAGGGTGTCAAAGTGTCCATAACTGCATGTATCACATTTCATGTAGACTCCAAATATTATATTATGCAGAAGTCAAACATATGTACGATAAAATCAGTGAGACTTAATGCCAAGCTGGAATCACTGATAATGTGCTAGCATAACCAGGAAGAATTTATATTGGATTAGTGACAAATACTTTATATAGAGGAAAAAGGACATATTCTCAACGAATTAAGCCCAAATTTAACATAATAAGAAAGTGCCAATGAGTTCTACCTCATCAGTTTCATGTTATTGCTTCTCTTTTAAGTGACTATGTTGAAACATGGCGATTATCCTCAAAATCACCTTATAGGAGCATTATGATCTCAAGGAGTCATTTTTCATGCAAACATCCAACCAGTTCTGTAACTGGGATCACAAAGAGATGGGCAAACAAGGACACACAGACATTATTTGCCCTGTAGCATTTTGCAGTTTACTTGTTTGAAATTTCTCTGCGCATCCTACATCTTCACCCTGGAGGCAAAGGACACATTAACTGTCCCTGATCTCTGCAACACTCCATCTCCTGGAGGAGAGGGGCTATTCTGTTAAAGGTATTGATATGATTACCTTCAGGATCCTTCCGACTTTACACTCTTATAAGGTTTTTAAAGACAAGCAAAATGATGGAGTGAAATTGCTCTCAGCTACTTCACACTGTTGGAGAGTAGGCAATAAAGTGCAGGAAAGGAGATTTAGATAAATCGCAAGGAGATAAAATGTAAGGAATGCTTTCTAACTACAAGAGTGGTTCGCCAATGAAGCAAATGACTTGGAAACCTATCAGTTATTTTTCTTGGATGTTTAAGGGGAAACCAGATAATCAGGATGACAAGCACAGTAACTCCAGATGAACCCGACAGCTGGAATTCTTAACCATTTTTTTGCAGCCCATTTAATTTGTTTTCACCAGAATAGTATGTAACCTGAGTGGGGGGAATGCTAAGTCCTGGGCCTAAAAGAATCCAGATTCTATGTGAAACTTGATTCTACAAAAGGTTTATATTATGTGCATGTATATCGTTCGATATAATGTATTTCTTTTCTCCAAGTCATGAGGAAACAAAAGTTTCCCAGGACAAAGAGAAAACTCAAGTTTTTCTTGCCAGGATAGTGACACGGAGTACAATACTGGAATCACAATTCAGTCCAACTAAGAAATGTTGACAGTCAGGTTCTTTAACATGTATAATCATGAGAGTATACACTTTTAAAAAGGCAGGCTATTTCTTTCAATTAAAATTTCTGGTTGAAAATATTGAAAATAACAATTAGTGAAAACAGCTTAATAGTACTATGTTGCAAGTCGCTTCTGGTCACTTTTGGAGATCACAACCAAACACAGTGAAGACATCTGCCCTTGCACTTTGCTACTCTCCTGCTGAGTAAGCATGCCCAGTGTGGAACACATCTCATCATGCTAAAACAGTGGATGTTGCTCTTAATGACACATGCCACATTATCACAGGATGTCTACGCCCTCCACCACTGGAGAAATTATACTGTTTAGGCGGTATTGCACCATCTGACATCTGCCGGGAAGTAGCAGCCAATAATGAAAGGACCAAAGTAGTGACATCTCCGGTCCACCCCCTGTTTGGATATCAGCTAGCATACCAGCACCTTAAATCAAGAAATAGTTTCCTAAGATTTACAGAGATACTCGTAGGAACACCTCAGCAAGCGAGAGCCCAAAAGTGGCAGGCTAAAACCCAGAACCTCAAGCCATAGCTGATACCGAATGAAAGACTCCCCCCGGTCACACAGAAAACTGGGTGACTTGGAAGACATTGTACAGACTGCACTCTGGCACCACGAGATGTAGAGCCTTATTGCAATACCAGAGGCACTCCAAGTGGCTAGCTACTGATCACAGGACATTTAGTATAATGCCAAGTTTTTTAAACTTTGTGTTTCTTAAAATACATTACAACTGTACCCGCTATTCGCTTCTGATACAACAAATAAATAAATGGTGCTATTCCATGTTTCACAGATTTAACCTATCCAAGTCTTCAGGATAACTTTTTCGGTATTGTGGGACTAACATTTGAGTGTACTTGGAAAAGGAGTTACTAATTCAACTTGTCAAGAAGGACTTTTCTGCCTCTTCTAAGACAGCAGAATAAAACAAGTTAAATTTTTGTACAACAATTCAAACCCATGCACATATATGGATCTGTGTAAACCTACTGAAGTCCCAAAGTTTCTGTAAAAAAAAACCCTTTGCATTTGGCACCAGAATGACAGCGATATAGGTACCAATTGGGCCTTAAAGGGAAGCATATTTTAATTGGTTCATCAGAAAGACGAGGACAATGCTTTTCTCTAAGACAGTGGTTCTCAACCTGTGGGTCCCCAGGAATTTTGGCCAACAACCCCCAGAAATCCTAGCCAGTTTACCAGCTGTTAGGATTTCTGGGAGTTGGAGTCCAAAACATCTGGGGACCCACAAGTTGACAACTACTGATATAGGAGATTATCGCCTTATGGAAGAATACCCCTATAAGTAGACCTCAAACATTGTGAGATGTGATACCTCTTCAAGTATTAAGATTTCAAGCCATTTAGGACTGTAAATCTCATTACCAGCATTGTGAATTCAGACTGGACTCATCTTAGTGGCTAATGCAATTCTTTTAAATTAAAAAGCCCAATATATTTGTCTATGAATCCTATATCATAGGAGGTCAAACATGAGGGGCAACGTAAGTCCTGACTCCAGGGAAGATTTTCCTTCTAAACCACTAGCGGGAATTGTGAACACTAAATCTGAAAGGCCATCTGCCTTGTGATGAACCCACCAGATCATTAAAATCTACACTGCTGCCCACACAGGCTCAGTTGTTGAGAACACATGAAAAGGCTCTCCTGGGTGGCTCC